TCCAAAATAGGAAGGAGTTGTTCCAGAAAAGGGCCGCGTCGGAGTGTCTGCCGTGAGGCCGGCTGCCTCCGCGCGCTCGGGCCAAAATTGCCCGGTGACAGATGTGCAGTCGGATGAGGCTCCGACTGGAAGAGGCGCGGCCGCCCCACGTAAACGAACGCCATGACGTCGGCGTGCGGTGTGAGCCAGAAGATGGCGGTGAAGGGTGGAAGAAAATAGTCTTGTTCGGCCGCTGCTCTCTTGTCGCCCGTTGGCGCGGACACCTGCCGTCCGTACGAAGGGAGCGTCGTGAACGGCTCCCGACGAGCCGCCGCGCTGCCATTGTCACCTTTTCTCTTTTGTCAATCAACTCTGGCCATTTTAAAACCCGGAAAAGGATTTGTCAGCCGTGGGAAAGCTTGTGTACGTTTCATGGGCTGTCGTTTGCGTTGGAGCACAGACACGGAAGTGGCAATTGGACCGGAACAGAGTGGCTGCTCGTGAACGTCAATAAATAAATAACTTGGGGGCGGGGGGAGTACTAGGGTCCGTTTTTCTCCACGCTTCCTGTTGGTGCTTAACTTCCCGCCATCAGAAACTGGATGAACCTGCGAGATGCCGAGACGGGCAAAGTTCTGTGGCAGGGAACCGAGGACCTCTCCGTTCCCGACGTGGAACACGAAGGTGCGCCGCTTGTCAGCGGGTGAAAGCGCACGTCTCTTCTCGCGCGCTCATCTTTGCCTTTTGTCTTTGTCCTCCTCCTCGTCCAGCTCGCGTCCCCAAAAAGATCCTCAAGTGCAAAGCGGTTTCCAGAGAGCTCAACTTTTCCTCCTCGGAGAAGCTGGAGAAGTTCCGTCTGGAGCAGAAGGTTTTCTTCAAGGGACAGTGTCTAGAAGGTGATCTTCATCCTCGATTTCGAGCCGACAGACGTGTCGTGTCGTGCGCAAACCGAGTGCCTCCTAGCCCATTGGGACTTTTCTTTTGTGCAACTCCTTCAGGAGGGAATAACGCCGAGGTTAGAATTTTTCTTCCAAAAAATTGACATCTTCATTCTCTCTCATGACAAATGACATGAGTTTATCATACCTTTTGAATTTTTTTCCACAGGTAGGCATTTTCTTTTTTTGGGGTCGGGGGGGGGGCGTTCATTTAGATTTACACGTGGTGTAAAATTGTTGATTGGGAATATGTGGCGTTCCTTAGGGAAAAAATAAGTTCTTTCTCCTCTGTATGGGGGCACTGACCCCAAAAGTTTGTAAAAATGTTGTTAGCCCGTGCACATTATTGTCCCCATTTTTCTGTGGTTGCGGAAAACGGGGAAAAAAAAAACGTACATCAAACTGTACAAACCAAAAGAGGCACATTTTTCAGTTAGCGCGCTTCAATTGAATTGATGTCCTGACAAGAAGTTAAAAACGCCTTCGACCATGAAGCTACGCCATGAGGCAAACCACGTGCGATATAAGATTGTTCTCTGGAAGGCAATGAAACAACAGATGCCCCCAGGGTGCTCATTTACGCTGCAGATACAGAGACCTCAATGGTGTGTGTTTGTGTGTGTGTCTCCCTGCCGTCTGCGTATGTGTCCAGAGTGGTTTTTTGAGTTCGGCTTCGTCATCCCCAACTCGACCAACACGTGGCAGTCGCTGATAGAAGCGGCACCTGAGTCGCAGATGATGCCCGCCAACGTCTTAACGTGAGTCTCTGATCGTACGGGCACTTGTTGTTCCTTCATCGATTGCTGGATGGACACCAAGAAGCGCCTTATTGTTACTTTTGTCCAAAATCTGCATTTTCTGCACAATGCCAATACTTTTGTCCCATAAAATTCAAAAGTGCTGGGTTAGATATGCAGCAGAGCCCGTGTTTGAAATGGACTGCAGATAACATTTGGGTGATTTTTTTTTTTTTTTTTTTTTTTTTTTGGGGCGGTGCAGTGGCAACGTGATCATCGAAACCAAGTTCTTCGACAACGACCTGCACGTGAGCACGTCGCGCGTACGCCTCTTCTACGTCTGACGTCCGCTGCCGTCTCGCCATCATCGTTCCGTCTCGCCGCCGAGGAAGAAGGCAACGCGCGCACTCCCGCGCGCGCGCGCGCACCCGATCGGCGCCGGGGGAGCGCATGTGGCGTCTCTTTGTGACTGTAAATACACGCGCGCCGATCTCGTCAGCCCGACGCTCCTTTTGTGCTTTGAACGTACAACCAACCAATGCGTTCTTTTGGCTTGCATTCACTCAGGAACCCCCCACCCCAAAATGTTTTTCCTTCTCACGATTAAAAGGTTTCGGAGCTCATTCCACGTTGTGTGGAACGTTCCGCCTGCCGGCGCTTCGTCTGGCGTTCGGAGGTCCATCGTTTGTTTCCCTCTGGTGGTCTCTGTGAGGCCCAGAAGGGAAAGGACAACGTGTAACTCGGCAAACTGAACGAGTAACATGAAACAGCGCATACCCAGTTAATTTCTTTTATTTATTTGATTAAGAAAAACAAAAAAGGTAAATTTGTCAAAAATAAGAAAGTGAAAAAGAAAATGACGCCACTTCACTACTTCTTCAAAAAGAAAGGCGTAACTTAGAATTCAAGTCATTCTGAGGAACATAACAACTTGAGAATGAATCCCCGTGGACCCCGGATATTTGTGGCTCCTTCGCCACAGATTCAACTATTGAATTTGTGGTGGTGGAGGGCGGGAGAGCCAATACCCGATATTTTGGACCCCGTCCCCTACTTATTTATTTTCTGCCAATCATCGTCAATGCATGTGCAGATTTTTGCAGCCCTGGTCCTTATCCCTTGCAAGTTGTGTGTGTGTGTGTGTGTGTGTGTGTGTGTGTGTGTGTGTGTGTGTGTGTGTGTGTGTGTGTTTGTGTGTGTGTGGGATGGTGGTGGAGGGGTCAATTGTTAGATTAAAAGCTTGCATACCCAATCTTTTCTACTAATGACCTGACCTTGCCATGTCGAAAGTAATTGGTTAGTTAGAATGAACTTAGTAATAATGCCACCGCATATTTGTGGTTTGTCACTTGCAAATTAAGCCGTCTATGGATTTTGAAGGGGAAACCTTCCCCAGTTATTTTGTAAAAACGCCCAGCTTGTTTTTTTTTTTTCCCTCCCCTACCCAGACACTTTTTGGGGGGAGTGTGGGGCAGTTATAAGGAGCGTCAATTATTTGCAGATTTTGGGTTCTATTGTACATCGATGAGTGAGCAGACCCACGCGCCCGATAGAAAAATCCAGCGAGGCTGTGAGACACAAATGTTTGGTTGCACCCGATAAACTTACAGGTGTCAAAGTCCGGTTCTCGGTGGCTGCTTTGCCGGATCTTTTGGGTGTTTCCCTCCTCCGAAAACACCTGATTCAAATGATCAGGATGGTCCTCGGGCTCCCTCAGAGCTTGCCGATGAGCTGATCGTTTGAGTCGGGTGTGTTGGAGCAGTTGGAAAACAAGCAGGGAAGCAGCCCTCGAGGACCCGAGCAAACAACGCCAAAGGTTTGAGGTGACTTGTGAAGCGCGACGCGTCCTCAAACATTCACACGTCTTCTAACCGCTTTGTCAGCCCGGTGTGGATTTGAATTGGTGGTGTCATGACGACACATCTGTTTGACTCATCTGGACCAAAATGCCACATTCCTCAGTGTTGTTCTGGTATTTTTCCAACAGGTCATTTTTATTTGGCTTTGGTTTTTCTTAGTCAGCTGTGTAATATAGACTTGTTTTAATATGACTGAATTTGTGGATTAAAACCAAGTTGTAATACGTGTGTGTCCGTGCGTTCACTTATTTTACACATGAAAAAAAAAAGTTGACACATTTAAAAATAATTAGCTGTGGTGCCTTGAGATACAAGTTAGAATGCTGCTGTGACCAAATCATTTGCCCATTGAAATGAATGCATGAAATGAGGATAAGCAGAGAAGAAAATGGGTGGATGGATGGATGGATATTATTGAGTCATTTTAATTGTGTTAAAATATACAGAAGTGAAGTTGATTCAATGAGTAATTTCTTCCTTTGGCTTGTTTTATTGAATCATCTCTCGCTCTTTCTCTGTTTATTTGAAATAAACTCATCTCACCCACCCGTAAATATTTTCACATTCCTGCCAAAACATTTATGTTGATTCACATGTTTATTTTTATCTTGTGAATAATTTTGTCCAACTTTTGTTTCACAATTTCCACAATATGATTTAATTTAGGGGTGGGATAGGGTCCAGTACACCCCCCGCGGTCCTGTTCAGGATAACTGGTGTTGAAAATGGATGGTTGTAAATATAATAACATAATCGGAAAAAAAAAGCAGTCGAAGGTTAAGAACTTTATTTCCCAGCAGCCTTTGCGGTGCTGCCGTAAAGCGTCTCCTGTGTGTCGACCTTCTACGTTCTTTTGGTTGAGTGACTTAAAGCAGCATGGCGAGCAAGGAGCCCAACGTAAGACATTCAAACCTTTCAACTTTCGCGTACTAACTTCATTTGTTGCTCCCGAAACGTCGTGGGCGTCTCGGGTGGATGTGACTAACGTGCGTTTGGACGAAAAGCTCCGCTGAAACAGTCAGTGAGGTAGCTAGCTCGCTCGCTAGCATGCCGCTTTGCTAAGCGGCGCGATGCGCGAACTTTCTGCGGGCTTTTCATCAAGGTCACGTTGCTTGCGATTTCATCATGAAAAGTCAAACTTTTATCACACAGTCGAATGAGTAAAAGAGGACATTCAGCTGCGTCTTGACTCGTTCCGTGTCGATGTTGTCCTCTCAGGTTTGAGATGTGCTCTCGTGTTGTCTCGTCGTCCGTGCGTTTTGTCTGCCGACGAGCCGATATAAGAGCTCGGGATGGAAGGTGTGCTTTCACATTTGTCAGGATGGAAGATGTGCGTCGTCGTCTCTGTAGTAACATTTATTGGAGTTTGAATGTATGTTCTAGTCGCAAACATTCGCGAATAGTCAACGTTGCCTCTAAAACGCACTTCGATAATTTTTTTTTTCATCTCTCAACGTAAATGCCCCCCCCCCTAGTATTTTGAATCCATTCCATGTACTGATTGCCGTTTTTTTGCAGCGGTTGGTCCAGAATCTCCGGGACATGATGGGTCGCATGGCGGGCTCGTCGGGCGGCAGGGGCGCCGGACTTGGAATCAAGCTGCTGCTCGGCGCCGGCGCCTTGGCATACGGGGTCAAAGAAGCCACATACACCGGTCCGCCTTTACGTGTCTTTTGGAATGAAGCATCAACTTTGTTGAGATGAGGGGGACAAGTACTCGCAGTCTTCATTGAAGAAGCAGTACGGTTCCCCTCTATTTTCAGAAGAAGAAATTGCCGCCGCTCTGCTAATGTCCGCACCGTTTCTGTGTGTAGTGGAGGGCGGACACCGAGCGGTGGTGTTCAACAGGATCGGTGGCATGCAGATGGACACGGTGCTGGCTGAGGGCCTTCATTTCAGGTGACGCCCGCCACTTAGCTGCCCGGTCCGCGTCGTCACCGGGGCGATGCCTGTGCAACTTGCACCTCACTGTCTTGCTGTGTGTGTGTGTGCATGCGTGCGTGTTAGGATCCCGTGGTTCCAGTACCCCATCATCTATGACATCAGAGCCAAGCCCAGAAAGATCTCCTCGCTGACCGGTAGCAAAGGTAACGAGACACGATGACACACACGGTGCGGGGCTGGCTATTACTGGAAGCAGACCGACTGTTATGTCGCAGCGGGGCGACACTCTTGCAACACGGCGCACGTACGTGCATGAGCAACCAAAGTCCGTTTTTCATTGAGAGCTGTTATTGCGCCGGCTAGACCTGCAGATGGTGAACATTGCGGTGAGGGTGCTGTCGCGTCCGATGGCGTCCAATCTTCCCATGATGTACCAGCGTCTGGGCAAAGACTATGACGAGCGGGTGCTGCCCTCCATCGTCAACGAGGTCCTCAAGTCGGTGGTGGCCAAGTTCAACGCTTCGCAGCTCATCACGCAAAGAGCGCAGGTGCGCTCGTCTTGCCGAGTTGATTTCCGCACGCGTCCGCCCGCCCCGCGTCCACAAAAGCGCCTTTGTGCTGCCGCAGGTGTCGCTGTTGGTGCGCAGGGAACTTTTCGAGCGTGCCAAAGACTTCAACATCATCCTGGATGACGTGTCCATCACGGAGCTGAGCTTCAGCAGCCAGTACACCGCCGCCGTCGAGGCCAAGCAAGTTGGTAGGGATCCGCTTTGCTTCAGAAAAGTAAAAAAAAAACAAAAACGACTGGGGAGGTTCACAGCAAACTCAAGAAGCACTCACCAAGAGCTTCAACAACAGGTTCACCAATTGACATCAACCAAAATAGTCTGAACCTTGCTTTTCGCCACGATTCGAGTTGCCTGAAAACCAAAGCAATATTTCCCGGAGGAAGTAAAGGACATGCAATAATCCTTTCCCGACACAAATACATGAACAAAAAACACATTTGATCGAGTATCGCGATTGCCGACGTACCAAAACGGTGTGACAGGAATAGAAATGTCTAATGATGTGGATAAAAGAACGTTTGACTTGGACATTTAGTTGAGCATTCAAGTCAAGAGTTTGTCTGCATGATATGATGTTGGACAAATCCTTATCTCGAGCTGTCACGTTTCCCTCGAGTCAGTGCAACCTGTCAGTCAGCTCCCGCCGTCTGTGTGTGTGTGTGTGTGTGCGCGTGTGCAGCTCAGCAAGAGGCGCAGAGGGCTCAGTTCTACGTGGAAAAAGCCAAACAAGACCAACGACAGAAGATCATCCAAGCAGAAGGAGAAGCCGAGGCCGCCAGGATGGTAAGACCACGGGATGTGGCCTCGCAGAGGGGGAAGAAAAAGCCTGTGACGTGACATGCTGTAATTAGCTAAGACTAACATGCAGGTTTATGCTGGGGGAAAAAAACAAGCACACAAAAAACCCAAATTGAGGGAGGGTATTCTACACTGCTCCGAAGTTGTTATCCAAGTCAGCTGTATCGTCAAATATGCTCTATGTACAACATACAGCACGGATGAAATTTCTTTCCTCTCAACCACAGTGCAAACATGCAGTGCAGCGAAACACACACACAGCTAAAAATAAGGACAGTAAAAGTGAACTGTTTAAAAAAGACAGAAGACATAAATATAGAAATATAAACAAAAACAATCAAAAGCAATCAACAGTCAACACTGTTTAAGTGCAATAAGCGGATATCAAATGCTGAGGGGGGAGGGGCGGGGTCAGAGACAGACTTTCATTCCAACCTGTCACATCTCTTCATGTTACATGTTTATGCAATCTTTTTTTTTTTTTGGAAAATAAGTAATTCCTGTCTCGCGTTGTACTTCGTTTCCAGTATTACATCGGGGGCGTTTGCGGCAGTCCAGCTGAAAAAGAGGCTCGTTGCCATCTAACTTGCTGATGTTCTTCTTGTCTTCTCATGCGCGTTTGTGTGCGTGCTCAGAGGCATGCACATTTGGAGGGAACGTTGGTCCACAGCTGTTTTGCTGCCATTCTTAATATGTGAACAGAAGCGCTTGTGGAGAGTCGCCTAATGTAGGTTTTCTACGGCCACTAGGTGGTGTCATTACACCGTTTTTGGGGTTTATTTTGTTTTGTTTTTTTTAAAAAGCGCTTTCACAACAGCTGCAGCCATCACCAAACGTTTTACAGGGCCCATAAACAATGGTACAGTCGTTACAAACCAACCATTTAAATTGAGGCTCGTCTCTCGGCCCCCATACGTACAGAGAAAGATCTGCTTGCCACTGGTCTCTCGAATACATCGGAAATAGCAATAGTGGCCCGGCGATGTCGCAATCGCAGCCGTTCGGGCGACTCGGTCGCAAATGTTTTTGGAGAGTGGCCATGTGAAGTCCCTCTTGTCAATCACTTTGTAGCGCCAATTAAAGCGGATACAAGCATGTTCACCTGTTGCCATGACATGGTCGAGATAACAACCCCCCCCCCCCCCCCGTCCCCAAAGGAAGTCTGTGCCAGCTCCCGATTAATTTGTGTGATTTGTTTTTTATTTTTTAGCTGGGTCAAGCCATCACCAAAAATCCCGGCTACCTGAAGCTGAGACGCATCCGAGCTGCTCAGACCATCGCCAAGACGGTCGGTCACTCACCCGTTATCCAATGTTTGAACCCAACACCATTCAGACAGGAAGAGTTTGGATGATTTTGACAAGGAGGTGCTCCTGACGAGTGACGTTGTTGACGACGATTGTTAAGATTGTGATGATGATTATGACTGGTATGGAGGGTGGCGACGACGGGGATAATTGTGAGGAGGAGGAGGAGGACGACAGTGATGAGGGTTAGGGTCTGACCAATATGGCTTTTCTGAGGGTGTTTCCGATACTTGTCAACAGGGAGTAATTTTCAAGTCCGAAACCATGACAAAACGGATGCACTTATCCATCCCTAAATGTCGGCAGTATCGAAGGGGTGACGTAACCGTGAAGTGGCCACTTGCGAATCAAAAGACAACATGTGCTCCAGTTGCGTTTTGAAGCATCTTTCGCTTTTCAAAAGTTGCTTGTCAAGAAATGTTGGTTCGCGGTCACGCACAAGCTGAAACTGAAACTCTTGCGGCGTCACATGTGCCGGCTTGAAGAAAAGCCTCAGTCCATCCCCAAGATTCTGCTGTCAAAGCATCTGACGGGGCGCACCAACGTGACACGCCGATCTGCCACAAAGAGAGCCCGCCAAAACTGGGCCACACGTCACAGGGTCGGGAAAGGCGCCGATGGGATTGAATGGAATCAGAGCTCCATCTAGTGGACAGACGGCTCACGTACATGCTTGTGATGGTTATGGCGATGAACTTGGGACAACAATGACGACGTCGATTCCCGTGCCGATGTTGATGGCGCTGATGTGGCCCTCCAGGTGTCGACGTCGCAGAACAGAGTGTATCTGGATGCTGACAGTCTGGTCCTCAACCTGCAGAACCAGGCCTTGTTTAACAAGTGAGTGCACAAACCCGCCGCTATTTACGCCCACTAATGCAAAGAAATTGTGACAAACACTTTCCAACATGAATGTTGAGGGTTCAACATTGTGGCTTCGGGCCATGCATGTTTTTTTTTTTGTGACTGCACGCAACCCCAATTTAATAGGCGGCAACAAAAATATGAAGAAAAAACCCGTCAACGTGCCTAACATCACGTTGTCGGAACCGCTTGACGTATGCTGCCGAGAGACGAGCGCTCGTTCCTTATCTGCTCTGTTCTCGCACGCCGCTGACCACCAAAACACATCGGTGACAGTGAATCGGAATTTTTCACGGCCTCAACTCTCAACTATTGTTGCACCTGTCGCTCGCAACCTACGTGAACGTGCAAAAAGAAAGGAGCCCTGCGAGGCTCCACCGATTTCTGCTCACTTGCCGCTTCTGCGCCAATCACTCCTTTCGGAGCTTCTGGCGCCAACTCGATTGCTTGCTCGGCGTTGTCGTCGGGGAAGACCGAAGAGCGTTGGCGTAGAACGATTTTTCTTCCTTTTCCAATCAATTCCATCCATTCAAACTTCCAAATAATCATAACACAGAGCTAGCAAATGAGAGGTTTAGCCGAACAACAAATTGGAACGGTTTGGCTCAGTGGGAACATTTTGGCAACTTCATTTTTTTCCCGACTACTTTGGGCCGAATTCCACCCTCTTCACACTGTAAAAATTCCCAGTGTGAGAGATTTTACGTATTTTCGCAGCGTTGCAAAGCGCTGAGCTCCTTTGGCGACCCTCCCCGCTGCCTTGCATTCTCCCTCCGTACGTTTCTTAACGCCACCCGTAACGCGTTCCAACTTTGCGTCTCCTACTCTACTCGGGCTGCAGCGATTGAATACTTTGAGTAATTTCCCCGAGTACCCCATCGATTCATTTTGTCATTGGATTAAAAAGAGAAAGATTTCCCTGTATTCAAGAATCACGACACAAAAGCAAGTGTGCTCTTGTCCCGCACTGTGACCGATGTGTTGTGTTTTCATGCGCGGGTGGCGAGTGGCGGATCGTTTCAGTCCGACGTTCTGGAGCTCTGGTTCTCGCACGTCCAGGCACGATCCCCGCAGAGAACCGCTTTCTCTCCTTTGACTTTTCCTTCCCCCTTTTGTCTTTTCAGTTTGTCGTTGAGCCAGAAGAAGTGATGAAGAGGCCCTCGCCTTCGTCACAATTGACCAACGGGCACTCGCCGGCTGCCAGGCCAGCCGGGGGACAGCAAACACAAAAGTCGGGAAGTCACTTTGGATTTTGTTTTTGTTTTATTGTGACCTTTGTCGATAAAATAGGAAAGATTCCGGCGACGTCGTTGAGCCGTAATGCAAATCAGTCGCTCATGTCTGTTCATTGATGCATTCAGAAATGGAAAGTGACCTTGTTCAAGAGTAGTCGCGTGCGGCTACAAAGGTGATGGCGCAAATTAATTAAATCTTGATGAGGATCATGATTTCAACTTGTCGGCTGCCTGTTTCCGTAGCGACGAGGTCGTCTCGGCCTGCGCGCGTGACTTTCGAGCACTACATTCACAAGCTTCATGAAAAATATGTTATCATTGGAAAAAAAATGTTCAAATATTTTAATAACATTTTCATACATGAACAAAGGTTTCATGCACAGGCTTCCCACAGTAAAATACTATTAAGTAGTACACCCCCCCCCCACAACAAAGCATTAAAAAGTTTCATCATAAAAATACATAAATAAATAAAACTAAAGTTCATTGACATTGACAGATAAGTTAGGTTATTGGGAACAGACTCTCAGGAGACCTGCCAAAGTGTCTTCTGCTCATTCAAGGATTCCGAGAGTTTATAAAAAAAGGTGATTTCGCCCCCAGCCCCAATGCAATAAAATTAGACGGAGACTGTAGCTAAACGTTCGGTAACTCGATTCTTGGAAACATTTGCTGACTCAGCTCGGCCGACCTGGAGCCGGTTGTACAAGCGCAACGAGTAGTAAGCGCCGCGCCTCAAAGTGCCGCCGCAAAGACGCGCCCAGCGCGGAGCCTGCGCAGGCCACGGCAGGTCCGCGGCGGGTCTCGCTGGAATTTGACTCGACGTGTCTGAACGTGCGTGGAACTCAATTCACCTTGGAGGAGGTGGCTGTGTGTGATCCTCTCAGACATTCTGCTTGACTTCATCGAGCTGCCATTGTTCATCCGTCCCGTCTTTTTACAGACGCAGTTCCACCTGAATGATGCGCCGCAAATATTAACGTCTTGCCGCGGGAGGTTTCTGCAATTGCTAATCAAAACTTGTCCATCATGCACTAAGTTTTGGAACCTCTTTCCAAGTCAACTGTACTAAAAGAAGACCCGGAGTAATGTGTCCAGCGTTCACTCAAGACAGTCGCTCTCCCAGTCAAAACACACCAAAAATTCTTGCCGCTTCTATTTCCCGATAAAGTGTTCCAATCGGGTACTTCCCGGAGGTTCAAAGCAAGGTTCTTCCTCGGGCCCCGATTTCTACAATGGTTGCCGTGGTCCGGAACCCGAAATAGTGTCGCGTGAAGTCAAGTTGGACTTTTGATTTGCTGGCGAGTCCAGGGCCAGTTGACATTCGAGTGCCGCTCCGGGGTTTTGGACTTGTCTCTCTGCAGTACTTTTCTTCTCCTCCTCCTTGTCTTTTCACCATTGCTTTGCTCCACTTTTTCCATTTTTCATTTTCCAGCTTGGGAAAAAGGCCGACTCCCCCTTTTCTCCTCTGCTCTCCCCTCCCACATGTGACATACTCTCATACATTCATGACCACTTGTCGTGAAATGAAGCGGTCAAATAACAGCACTTCCCAGCTGCTTTGATGTTGCCGCTCGGAACGAGTTAATCATTCAAAAACCATTTTGCTGAGTATATTTAAAAGCACGACTGCCTTGACTTACAAGTGCCCCGACGTACAAATGTTTCCAGTTCGGAGCCTTCGCTCGCTCTGTTTATTTTTGCTGTCGCAAAAATGGGGGGGGGGGGGGGGGGGGTGTAACAACAGCAGTTGAGGGGCTATAATGCCCTGGCATGTGGGCAAGCAGAGCTAGTTGCCGATGAACTTTTGAGTCGTTTATTGAAGAGGCGCAAATGCAAAATGACAGCCCTCGCAAGGAGCGTGGAGGAAACTGTCACACTTGCTCCAGGCTTCTGTCGTCACTCTAAGCCAAGCCTTCTAGAACACAAATGCTCATTTAAAAAACGCTTATCTTTTTACATTTTCACAAGTTTCATTGTTTATATATTTTAAAATGCAGTGCTGTTTTCGTTATGGAAGAATTGTAGTAAAAAATTGCGATGCTTGCAAGGACTGATGGCACTTTGATGGGGAAGACTGATTTGCGATGAGTAAATTGAGTATTAAACTTTGGTTAGGGAGCTAATCCAACTCATAAGTCAAGGTACCCATATCTGTGTATGCAGGTCAACAGTTGGAACGCCAGTTTTGAGCTCTGAAAAGAATGAATTGACTTAACAAACCTTGTTCAACCTTTAGATTGATGGTCATCTTGTGCTACCATGTCGTCGCGGTAAAGTAAGTCTGCCGCCCCCTGCTGTATGACTGCAAAAAGGCTGGAAGCCGCTTTTACGACACTCCAGCGCGTCTCGTTCCGTATGTATACGTTGCGAGGTGGATTTTCTCTCTACTTCACTTTTGTGGAAATATTTACTCTGACCTGCCAATGTTTGAGTTTGTCGCGTAAAACCAAGGAAAAGTAGAAAGTCGTCATGAATCCTCGGTACGCCCGGTACAGTATTTCCATTCACCCGCAGTCACCGCCCACCACGGTGCTGATGATTGACACCCGCGTTGGCCACTCACCGCGCGCAAAGCGTCAGCTTTACGTTCGCTTCAGTAGACGAACCAATCACGACCCGCTCGAGAAAGCTTCAAACGCCACACGACCGAGGCGTGCGGCCATCTTGGTGAGGCACCATGAAATCGCCACAGCCGCCACCTTGGTGAGGGACATAAGTAACAAGCCGTCAACTCTCGCCGTTTCTCAGCGAATACATTCTCGCTGAATTCCAACCAGGCAACATTTACACACTTGACGCGATATTTTCTCTTTCCCGTGAGTTTTTTTGGGACACGTAATGCCGAGTCTGGCGTTACTATGGCTTCTGCAATACACCCCGCCCTTAAGTCTGTCCTACTTTGCCTCGCACATGAGCGCGCGCGCGCGCACACACAGACACACAGTGTCTTTTTGTTAAATAAATCCAGATACAAATAAAAGCAGCGCGTTTAAGTGTCAGAGTAGAAAGTCAATAGTTGGAGTCGGGCACATACGTCTGAGACAGTATTGGTGTGGTTGTGATGGAGCCAGTAGTGCTGCAGCACGTTACATGCCTGTAACAGTAACGAAGTCGTCAGTAAAAGTGCAGCAGTTGTCGTAAAGCTTGCAACGGCGGAGCAGCGGGATTTCTTGGGCGGCCTGAGACGTGTGCTTGTTTCCTCTCGTGCCACAGTGAGGTCATGTGACCCAAAAAGTCGTTATTTCGCAAATCTAGCAGCAACACTTGAAACAAAAACACACTTGATTTTGCATGCATGCAAAAATGCGCCCACGGCGAGTCATAAAAGTCACTGTAGTGTGAACAAACGTTTACAGTCTGTGCGATTATTATGGGATTAGCGCAGCCAAGCGCGTGCACGTGACTGTTTTTTTTTTTTTTTTTGTCATTTCTGAATAGTGTATTAGCCCCTAATCATGGGCTAATAAAGTGGTTTCGGATTTCAAACAAATCGCTTTTCTAACAGCCTTCTGGATCGGATTATGATTGAAAACCGAGGTATGACTGTACTTTACAAAAACACATAGTAATAAGTAATAACACAATTACATGAAATGTAAGTAATTAAACAGTTTGTGCATAGTGCACATCATTCAGTGTGAATCTGCGATTCATACTGGTTTGTGTACATTGACCACATGGGGGTAGTATAATACAGACATATAGTACGAATATAGATCATTTTTCAAAGGGTAAAATATATATTTATGTATGTCTGTCTAGATGTGTTTGCTTCACCATTTTTGTTCAAACATTGTTACACGAATGCTATTTGTTAGCAGCTTGTCAGTATATAGATAAGGATACTTTTCTACAAATCCTACTACTCTGTATCAATTACCTTCTTCTGGATTTTCTCCCAGGTGTTCCCAGATGTGACCATTCTTTTCAGTGACGTGGTGGGATTCACTCGCATTTGCAGCCACATCACTCCCTTGCAGGTGGTATCCATGCTCAATACCATGTACACTTTGTTTGACACACTCAGCGAGAAGCACAGAGTCTTCAAGGTACGGGCATATATTCCTCGGTTTGCTAGTACAGTACTTTGCGTGTTTATGTGTTGCTCTAAGCAAATCTGTTGCCTTGCAAGGTTGAGACCATCGGAGACGCCTACATGGTGGTCGCGGGCGCTCCGGAGAAGACCAAGTATCACGCCCATAACATACAGGCGGGCGAGCAGGCATGAGCGTAGCCGCCACTGGAGCGTCGGCGCCACCGCGGAGCTTCACCAAGTCGCGCGCGCACGCGCATGTGTGCGCGCGCGCTCACAACAGGAAGCAGCATCCTGTCTGGAGGATAAAGATGTGCAGGGGGTGTTTTGGGAGTCGCAAGAGACTTGATTGGGGTCTCCGAAACATATTTTACCTTTGAGTCCACACGAGGGCGCCGTTCACTCTCACGCCGGACTGAAAAGGCGCAAAAGAAAGCCGGCATGAAAAAAAAAAAAACGTTTCATGAGACGTTGGTGTGACTGTGCAGCAGTGTCAGGTGACGTCACAAATTTAATTTTCACAATCAAGTCAAAAGTGTGGCGTTCAGAGTTGGTGTCAGGTGACATCCACTCTGACATTGTGGACTGCTGGGAGTTGGAGTCTGGGCGTGTCTGTAATGTTTTAGTGGTGTGTGTGTGTGTGTGTGTGTGTGTGTGTGTGTGTGTGTGTGTGTTGTGCCCCCCCGCCCACCTCACCAGTCAGTCTGCTGCTCTGCTCCAGTCTGGTCTGGTATCAGCTTTCAGCAGCCAGAGCACAGTGGGAGGGACTTGGGAGCATGCGGCCAATCGGAGCCCAGGGACGAGGAGCCCAACCTGTCCCCGAAAAAGGAAACTCCCGGCCTGCCTCCTAATCCAGGAAGCACATGTTTACCTTCCGCATGATATACATACACACAGACACACAGTGTCTTTTTGTTAAATAAATCCAGATACAAATAAAAGCAGCGCGTTTAAGTGTCAGAGTAGAAAGTCAATAGTTGGAGTCGGGCACATACGTCTGAGACAGTATTGGTGTGGTTGTGATGGAGCCAGTAGTGCTGCAGCACGTTACATGCCTGTAACAGTAACGAAGTCGTCAGTAAAAGTGCAGCAGTTGTCGTAAAGCTTGCAACGGCGGAGCAGCGGGATTTCTTGGGCGGCCTGAGACGTGTGCTTGTTTCCTCTCGTGCCACAGTGAGGTCATGTGACCCAAAAAGTCGTTATTTCGCAAATCTAGCAGCAACACTTGAAACAAAAACACACTTGATTTTGCATGCATGCAAAAATGCGCCCACGGCGAGTCATAAAAGTCACTGTAGTGTGAACAAACGTTTACAGTCTGTGCGATTATTATGGGATTAGCGCAGCCAAGCGCGTGCACGTGACTGTTTTTTTTTTTTTTTTTGTCATACATGTCAACGTTTTTGCACGGCGGCTACGCGCGGGCCTGTGCGTGCGCGCGTGCGTGGGTGGCACACTTTTTGGGCAACAAGGGAGGCGCGTCCATTGTTTGGCGGAGACCAATCGGCGGTCGAGTTTGGCCCGGAGCGCGCTCGACCAATGGGAGCGCGTTCTCCGGTCTGCGCGCCCCGCCCACCTGCAATATAAAACCGCGGGCGGCAGACGAGCGGTAGGGTGCACGCGCAACTCCGGGGGACTAGCGAGGCTGTCCAAGTGGAATTCGGAATCTTCATCCTCCTCCTTCATCCTCGCCATCGTCCTGTTGTTAATCTCTGCGACTGCCTTTCTTGTTTGCGAGCCAGAAAAACAAGAAGACGAAGAAGATGGCGGACAGCAAAGTGGAGAGCGGCGGCGAGTTGAGCGCCAAGGTGAGACGCGCACGCGCACCCCTTGAATAAAGAAGAATTGAACATGCTGCAGGACAAGCGCGTGCGCGCACACACGCGCGTCCGTCATTTACCGCTTGCAGCATCTTTTGCAAATGTGTGCAGCATTTTGAGTCGTCGCAAATAATCCCACAGTTGATGATGATGATGATGACCGTGTTGATGACGAAGTGCGTGCGCGCGTGTGAGGCGCGCGTTACGTGGGAATTGAGAGCGGATTTGGCGCTCAGAGCCTCTTAAAGTGAACAAGAGCAAAAAGAAGACGCGCGACGCCTTCTCTTCCTTTCCAGTCAAACCGTAAACATGATTGACAACAACAATCAAAGCTTATCCAAATGTGGCTTCCGTGCGTGTTTGGGTGGTGTTGCGCTGCTGGTGCTTCCGCCCTCCCTCCCGTCACGGCGGCGGAGGCTTCGGCTCACAGGCGGGCGAGCAGGCATGAGCGTAGCCGCCACTGGAGCGTCGGCGCCACCGCGGAGCTTCACCAAGTCGCGCGCGCACGCGCCTGTGGGCGC